GCTGGAAGCCCCACGAGTGCCCACAGCAGCTCTTCGCTGTTATTCTGTGCGCTCAGAGGAGTCGGTGCTTTGGTCACCCCACGATATAAAACACTGGGGCCAGGGTTGGATGGACTCAGGTCTTTTTGTAGTGTTTTAAGGTGCACGCCTTAAAAGCCTGGAGTTTTTCCTTAAAAATATAAAGTCGGGAAATCTCCTCAGCTGTGATGTGGTCTGTGTGCTGAATATCTGTATGACAGAGAGATGTGGTCAGTGGCTTTCTCCTGCAATAAATGCTGATCTAATATGACCTTGATGGCGAACATGCTGGTTAGATGCTGTGTTATTCTCTGCTTGCTATGGAGCTACTGTAGTCCCCGCTATCACCTCTGTAACCATTAACTTTGGGAAGGTTTCTACTTATGTGTGCTGGCTGGTCAAAAAACTCCCAAAACAAGTATCTCCGTGGAAGAAAATAATATTTCTCAAGGATCACGGTGCCTTTGGAGAAGAGAATAACACCAAGATTAAAAATAAAGTCTTACCAGAATAAAATAATCTTTCTTAGCTGGCTTTGTATCGACCAGTTAGTCTCAACGGCCCAGTTTCTAGTTTGAAGGAACAAGTGAAGTCCCTCTTGTGTGGTTTTATAGACTTGATCTGTGCTGTGATTTACAGTCTGGAATATAAGAAAGTTTCTTTGCTTATGTTTCCAAAAAATCAGCAGCTTGTGGTTGCCAGCGCTGACGTGTTAGCACTTAGGCTGTCGGTTGTACCGTTCAGTGCCCTGCTCAACAGCAACTGCTTAGGCAGCGAGGCTGCTCTCCTCGGCACCTCTGCCTCGGCGCATCACAGCCCACCTGCGCCCTTTCTGGGTTTATTTTGTCGGATCCGGTTTTCGTCTGGGTTCGCCAAGCCCCTTCCCTTCCTCGGTGGACGGCTGGCAACGGTGTGGCTACGAGGGATAAGCTGTCGTCCCCCAGCATGTCTCCATCCCATCCTTCTCCATCATCACCTTTCCCAGCGGCAGGATCAGTGTGGGGCAGCAGGAGAGAGCGGTGGGGGGCCGGCCCCGGCGCTCGTGCTCCCCACGGGCGTGGGGAAGGCACAGCCCCTCCCCAAGCCTCGGCGCCTCCACGTCTGTGGAGCTGTGACTCCCCGGTGCCCTTCAAGAACTTTGCTGTGTCCCCAGAGGGGCAAACACCGCAGTCAGGACCGGCCCGGAGGGAGAGTCGGAGGATGATCCTGCAGTGAGAGCGCGACAAGCAGGGAGCCGGGCGGGGATGGGGAGGAGGCCCACGCAGCTGCCACCCACACCGGGTCACCAGGATCACGCACGGTTTCACCGGGGAGGGGGGGTGAAGGGCACGAGGGGAGTTCCAGCCTCCCTGTGACGTTGGCACCTGTGTGTAAACACCTCGGATGTCCCCGGGGTGCTGTCCTCCTTCCCTCTGCTCCTCGGTCCTTCCCTGGCTCACATTCGTGGTCTTCCAGACGCTTCTGCTGCTCTTTTCCCTCGTGCTCGCCGCCGTGCTGCCGGTCTGTGCCCCGCCAAGGATGCACGCCCCGGCGCTCCCCCGGCAGATGAGGTCTCTTCGGTTCCCCCCCCCCAACCCCCTTTGGTTTTTCTGCGTGCCCATGTGCATCAACAGGCTCCGCGGGGGGACGCCGGTGCGTCCTCCCGGCTGCGGCGGAAGGGCGACCGCGGTAGAATTCGGAAAGGCACCCAGGGCCCGCTGCACCATCACTTGGGCCTCTGCGGGAGCCTGGAGCAGCACGTGGGGACGCCGAACCTGACTGCGGGAAGAGCAGAAAATGCAAAAGCGCCTGTTGCAAGGGGAGCTGGGCTTGGCCCTTGCGTGAATTTGCCGAGTTCTGCAACTGAAGCCCACGAAAGAAGCGTTTCCTGCTGCAGCAACCTCGCCCATTGCCCTCCCCACGCATCACCTTGTGTGGGTCATTTTGGGTTTGGCTTTTTTTTTTTTTTTTTCTTCCCTGATGAAAGCCCCGGCTGCACCTTCTGCGAGCAGTTTCTGGCTGATTCACTGGAAGGAAAACTTTGTCCTTGGTGGAAACACCCTGGCCGAGTGGGAGGGACACGCTCCCTCCCGGGGATCTGCTTCCTTCAGCAGTCAGGCTGTGCCGGCAGCATGGCAGGCTGCACGAGGCCAAGAAAAATAAGCAAAAAAAAACCATCTCAGCTAGGTCTCAGCAACTGCAGAATAACACGGGGACCACACTCGCCTCCTCGGTGCTTGGTGAAGAAGGAGCGAGTTCCCCCACGCCTCCACCTGCACCATTCCCTGCCCCTCCTCAAGGTAAAGCGGCAAAATTTGACCCTGAACCTTCTTCACAGAAATCTCGTTTTCCCAACCCGCTGCTGCGCCTCTGAGGGCTTCTTGGGGGGGGGGAAAAAAAAAAAAAATCACGTGTCCTTCCCCCCCGGCACACGCACTTACCCTGCTGGAGTCACTTTTGCCACTGGCAATGGCCACACACAAATTGGCCATTAAGCAAACTGACCCTTCACTGACCGGTACAACTCAAAAGCACCGTGTGTGCCCGCCGGGGCTTGGCCTTCACCAGGGTCACCCTGGGATGGGGGGGGGGGGGGGGCTGAAAGCTTCGCTCTTCAGCAGCTTTATAAAAAAAAGCAGGCCAGGTTTCTGGAGGTGACAACGCAGGCAGCGGCAGGGGGGGACGGTGGAACAGCTCTGCGAGGGCTGGGGCGAGCGTGTTCCCGGCCGTGTTTGAATTGGAGCCCGGCCACGGAAACCGAAGGAAAAACCACAAGGTTTGGGAGGTGGCTAACCTTGGGCGCAGCCTGCCTCTCGGCCCGTGCCCGCGCTCCGGTGGAGGACGCACGTGGGGTGGAAAGACCTGGCCGTCCCCGACCCACCGTGGCGTCAGCCTGGCCCCTCGCGCCCGCCGGGCCACGTGAGCGGGGAGCAGGTGGCGTTGGCAGGAGCGTTCCTCGGGGACGCCAAGGACTCGGCGGGTCCCGGCCCCCCCCCCCCCCCCCCCCCCCCCCACCAGCGGGTGTTTTTCCACCTCCCGGTCCCGGCACGTCGGCAAGCGCCGAGGCACGGGGAGGCACCCGCCTGCACCGCGTCTTGTTCAAGCCCAAGAATCCCAAATCTCCGGGAGGCTCTGGGGCAGAGGGAGACGCTCTCTTGCCGGAGCGAACTCGGGCTGTTTTGCTGGGCCTGTATTTAAAACAGAGTCCAGGGCACGGCTGCCTTACAGGCGGCTTCTCCTGCTTGCGTAAGGCTTTCCTCCGGCTGCCAGCCCCCTCCCTCCAGCGGAACAGCCCGACGCGTGTCAGAAACTGCTGCTGTCGCAGACTGAAAAGCCCAAGGCTGAAGCGTGGCATTTTCTACCCAAACTGTCTCCTCCTTTCTCAGGTGGGAGCCCGCCTGCTCCGTGACTCCAGTTGCAAGTTTCCTTCTTAATAACGGAGTCCCCTGTGACCAGTGTCTAAACAACACCCCCCCCCCACGCCCCTCGGAGCTTCGGGAGGCAGGTCCCATCCTGTTGCCGTGCCTTGGGGCAGCACCCTTGCTGGGGACTGACTCGGTCACTGCCCAAACGCCTGGCAAATACTCCCACGCCCGGGCACCACCCCGCGCCGGCCTCTCTGAAGGCCGAGGGAGGGCAGGCCCCTGTCCCTGCCCGCGGCTTTCAGGCGGGTGTTTCACCTCCCCACACCCTTCGGGCTCCCTGAGACAGCACAGGGGAAAATACCTCAGGAGGAACGAGGCTATGCTAAGCCTGCTCCCTAATCCCTGCCCAGGCCACGCAGCTTTCGGCTGTAAACTAACCCCAGGCCCCACGGCTCGGCGTACCTGTGCCCAAAAAGGGAAAGGCTCCCCGCCTCCCCGCGTCACAGCCGAGCAAATGCAGGGCAAGGATCAGGGAGGCACATGCTCGCCCTCCGTTTTCCATTTCCAGAAACGTGTCTAAGGGCAAGAGTTTGCGCGTGCTTTAGATAAATGATTACAAGGGGTTTGAGACACAAAGGGGAAAAAATAGTTTTGTTGCTTAGCACAGTGACAGTCACGCGGCATGCAGCAGGCGCGAGCAGCGGCCCAGCTCCCGGGGCTTGCAAAGCCAAGGGCAGAGCAGACCCGAGCTCTTCCAGGAACAAATTTGGGCTAGAGGGGCTGAGGATGCTAGCGGCAGCTGGTAGCCAGCACCAGCTCCACCTTGGGTTTCCTCGAGGATGTTCAGAGCGGCTCCCTCCAACAGCTTCTTAAGGCGGTGGGGCTGGGGGAGCTGGGGCACGCAGCCGCCCGGCACGTGGGGTGGGGGGGGAACAGACGTTTCAGCATCTTCCTCAGCACCGAGGGGCCAGTCTTGGCAAAAAGGAGCAGCTCCCTCCGAGAGAAATCCTGATTAGAGCTGAGCAGCGAGAGGTTAGGAAGGGAAACGACGTCAAGACCCCCAGCATCAGTGCTTGTTCTCACATCCAGCCTCAAGCTCGCCCCGGTAGAAGTCGCCTCGGATGAACGGTCGCAGGAGGGAGGGCGCAGCCTGCACACGCACCTCAGGGCTTCCTGGGCTTGGCAAGGACCCCCAGGATAAACCCCAAGGGGTTGGCACGGCGGGTGAGAGAAACCGACCCCTGAACTGCAGAAACCAGAGCCTGGGAAGCGCAATGACACCAGACAGATCCCAGCCCGGCCGGGGGGGTGAAACGATGGCCCTGGCGAGCTGCCGCTGAAACCAGGTATTTTAGGAACCGTGCTGAGTGACTGAAGGGCCCCGCGCCGAAGCGTCTCGCTCCCCCCTCCCCACCCCGTCCCCCCGGGAGGGGAGCCAGCTCCGCGCCCCCGCTCTCCGGGGAGCTGACTCACGGCAGGACCAGGGGAGGCCGAGCCCCCCGCCGCCGCTATTGCGGGCAGCGCGAGGGGCCAGGGAGACGGCCCGAGCCCGGGGCAGATATTCCTCCCGCCAACGCTCCAGGACGGGCACAGCGGAGGCGTGCTGCCCCCGCCGAGCGCGCACCACACCACACCCGGTTATTATATCATGCTTTTAATACAAACTTAAAAAAATCTGGAACAATAGAAACTGTACAGATTTGATCAACCTTTTTTTTTTTTTTCTTTTTTTTTTTGTTTGTTTGTTTGTTTGTTTTTAACTAAATCTCTAGACACACCAATGTCCCGTTCCAAAATATTGCACAACATTCTGAATACAAAACTCTGATTGTATTCCTCCTTCGCTAAAGAAAAAAAAAAAAAAAAAAAGGAAAAAAAAAAAAAAAACAAACAAAAAGAAAAACAAAACAAAACAAAACAGCAACCCCCTGGTTCCCCCTCTCAGCAGCCCCCTTCTCGGAAAGAAACCCAAGCAGAGCACACACGGAAACCCGCCGCTGGGAGACATGCAGGCTTCTGTCCTCTTCCACTCATTCTCTCCCACAAGGCAACTGTCGATTCACTCCTCGGAGAGGGGCGGGAGGGAAAGGAGGGAGGCTGAGTGGGGAGAAAGGAATCTTCACCGCTTCTTTTTTTTTTTAAAGTTTTTTTCCTGAAAAAATATTTTTTTTTCTCTCCTCTTTTTAAGAAAAAATCTCGAAAAGAAAAAAATTAGTTTGTTTTTTTTTTTTTTTTTACGTTAGAAATATACATATATTATATATACCTCTTACATTTTACAAATGTAGCAAATTATTCAATACAAACAGACATCAACAAAAAGAACACAAACCCATAAAAAATAAAAGTTAAAAAAAAAAATTTCTCTCTTCTCTTCCTAAGAAACCAGGTAAATTAGTGCAGGTTTTTAAAAAATAAAATTGAAGCTGAACGCCTACATCCAAGACTAGAAAAGACCCGAAAAGGCCGTTAGTTTCCATTGCTGCCTGACGCTGGAGGAACGTTTCTGAAGCACGCTTTTTTCCTTTTAAGATACAGAGGTTGGTCCCTCCTCTTTTCCTCCTTCCACTCATACCACTGTTTTTAAAGCAGGTATAATACGTGTGGCAGGGCAAAGCGGCATCAAAGCTTCACACACATAAGCGGGTGGCCGGGGGGGGGCATCGCCACCTCTCCCCCCGCTCCCCGTGCCGGAGGGGAGCACGCTGTCCCACGGCAGCGGCGGGTGGCTTGGCCAGATGTGGTGGGGACACACACACACACACACACACACAGCTGGACCGGGTCCCACCATCAGGGGCTCAGCACCCCTCGGTCCAGCACTCAGCAGCACGCTCCCGGGGAGAAGGACGGGGTGGCGGCAGTGGTAACGTCCGTGAAGTGGAGGGTTTGGAAAAATTTTTTTTTTTTTTTTTTTAAAAAAAAAAAAAAAAGGAAACCCAACAGCTCGGCCATTCCTCATCGATTCGTCCCAGCCTGGAAACCTGCAGGGTCGAGGCTGCGGGCACTGGTTTGGGGGAAGCTAGCTGGGCTCCGCGCTCCTCGTGGGTCACAGCCTGACGGCGAGCAGCCCGCTCGGGCCCCGGCGCGAGGTCGGGACCGTGCCTCCCCCAGGCACCCAGCGAGGGGGAAGGCGCGCTGGAAACTCTCCTTAAAGAGCTCCGGGCTGCGGCAGCCCCCTCGGGACAGCCCGTCACCTCTGCAAAGGCTCATTGGCAACACAACTACAAGAGGGCCAGAGCGCCTTCCTCTCGGCTCGAGGGAAGGGAGAGGGAAAAGCACGGGCTCGAGCCCATCTCCCCTGAAACAGGGATGTCTTGGAAGAGCGTTGGTTCAACAGGTACAGGAGAAGTGGGTTTTCCGAGGGTGCTCCAGAGACATCATTAAAAGAAAACCAAACCTCAAGTTTGGAAGGCAGCAGAAAGCTTATTTTTCTTTTAAACTGAGAACTTCAAAGACTGGAGTCTCATCATCTCCATCTCTCTCCTCTTTGCACGTTTCTGTACTTCCACAGCAGCCTCCGAGGAGGCCTCCTTCCCACCTACAGAGCCCTCCACCCCGCCTGGGCAAGAAGCAGTCTTCCTTCAGCTTCCCCTGAAGGTGGGTTTTGGAGTCCCTGACATAAAAGCAACCTAGCTGAGAAGCCCGACTGCAGCACGTCGTCCTGGGGAAAGCTGCGGGCGCATTCCCTGATCCCAGCCCTGTTGGGGGGGGGGGGGGGGGGGAGGCACCGTACAGACACACGCCGGGACAGCTGCCCGGCTCCTGAGCGCCCGTCCCCGCTCCGCCCCGAGCCTCCCGCCGTCCCTGCTGACGTGATCCGGCTGGAACGACGAGCTCACGCGAGGCGCTTCCCTTCCGCACCAGATGAGCCACCTCCTCCTGCTCCTCCAGGAGGGCAGGGGAGGGGATTGAGTCAGGTGGGTACCTGGCTGAAAGCACAAATCCTTATGCTACCACTCAAGAGAGCAGCTTCAACAACATAGCCCTTTCTCTTCCTGAAAAGTAGTGCTGCCTCGCCAACTGAAAAGGAAGGAATTCCCTCTCAGAGACGAGAAGATGAATTCACAGCAGGGAATGAAAACTCCGACCTGAGAGCAGGGACGGGCGGGTGGCGTTTCTACACCCCAGGGCCGTCGCCCGGCCCGAGGGGGCGCGGAAAGGCCCCCTCACTCGCTCGCGCGCGGGAGGGGGGGGGGGGGGGGCAATAACCAGAGTCACTCAGTCCAAAGCGCTGTCCCTCCTGCAGTCGCGGCTGGGAGCAGGACGAAGCCATTTCACAGTAACGCTCTGCCCTCCCTGAGCGCTCAAGGAGAAGAGCGTTGGTGCTTTTCAGCACACAGACAGAACAGCTGACGCCAGCGCGGGCTGGAGCAACAACAGTACAACGGTCTACGCCCGTGGGCACAGTAGATGCTCTCCGTCTACACGCAGAGCCGTAACAGGAAAAAAAAAGCAAAGCTCACCCACCCATTTCTGGCTAGGACGCAACACCAGTGTGTGTATCTCCACCGACACTGACTCATCCTCTCCCCGGCCCTCCTCCAGCCTCCAGCCAGGTGGTACGAAGACGACGTCCCTACACCCAGGTGGAAGGACCCCGTGTCCAACGCTGGGCGGGCGGGGGGCAGGTGGGTGGGTGCAGGGAATCGGGAGCATCGTGACCTATGGTTGCACCAGTCCTGGGCTGGGGGGGGAAGGGGGAAAAACACAAACTGACAAAATCCCAAGACTCATTTAAGGAGTAAAAAAGTGAGTAGGAAAAAAGCACAGGGACTGAGTTAAAAAACAAGTCAGTGCTTCAGGAGCGTTGCCAGCACAGCGCAACAACACTGGGCTCTCTCTTTTCCCAAGAAGCTATATTTATAAGATTTGAATATTTTCTGTATATTTCTATTTTTCTTTTCTCTCCCTCTTTTTTGTTTTTGTTCTTGTTTCCCCCACCCCCTCCCTCCCTGCCCCAAAATACTCTCCTTCCTCGGGTTCAGTTGGCCAGGACGACAGGCTGGAACGACTGGCTGGGATACTGCATGGCATTCAGGTTGTAGCTGAGTCCTTCCACGAAGGGAGACTTCTCCAAGAAGAGGCTGTTGGTGCTGCCACCAAAGACCTGAGCCATATCGAAGGTACCGCCCGTGCCGGTGTTGAACTGCGACGTCGGCGGGATGCTGCTGGCCTGGCTCTCGGTGGCAACACCGTCGAAGAAGAGACTGCTGGCTCCTGGCGAGCCGCCGCTGTAAACGAACTCCTTGGCGTTGGGGGAGAGCTGCGACTGCGGGGCTTGGCTCCCAGCGCTCCCGACGAAGTTCAGAGAGTGCATAGACAGGGAGAGGCCCTTGTGCTTCAGCAGGTTGGTGGTGGGGGACCTGACCATCCTGGGCTGCTGCCCAGCCCCTGCTCCGCCGCCCCCTCCTCCGCCCCCTCCGCCCTTCTTCATCTTGGTAGAGCCGAACTTTGTGGCAGCAAAGGTGGCAGTGGTGAAAGTGATAGGCTGGGCAGAGCGAGGGATGAAGGTGGGGCTGGGTGACTGGCCGAAGGAGGGGGACGGAGAGTTGGACAGCGAGTTGTCCTGGCTGCCAATGGGGACAAATACCTGGGCGTCGGGGTTGAAGCTGCTCTTGATTTCTTTGTCCAGCTCCACGGCGCTGCAGCCCTCGCTGTCATCCAGGTAGAGGACCTTAACCGAGCCCTTCTCGCCGATCTGGTAGGAAACCTCAAAAGGATCGATCCAGACACTCAGCTCTTCCGGCACATTGGCGCGCACATCCTCCACGGCCAGCCCGCTCCGCTTGGCCGCCAGCTCCACCACCGGATCCACCGTCTCCCCTATATGAACACAGCGATAGCCAGATCCCTTCAGAGGCTTCTCCGGGTACCAGTGACCCTCATATTTCTTCTTCAGCAGGCGCTCTAGCTCCTCACCGAACAGGTCTGCCCGCCTCCGAGGAAGCTTGTTGTACAGGTATGAGATGATGAAGTTAAGAGCAACTTTGATCTCCAGATGCATACTCCCTTCGCAGCAAGCAAGTCAGGGCAGTGTATTAAAAGAGACAAAATGACACGCACATAGACAAGATTTGGCTCCAGACAGACCTAGGGAAAGAGAGAAAAGGACGGATGAAGACGAGAGAACACAACAACTCTCCAGCTGTTGAGATAAAACAGCCGCTCTTTTTCATGAACAGAAGCAGTTGGCGCAAACGCTCACCAAGCGGCGATGCTCTCTGGGAGCATCACCCCCAACCTACTGGCCCTCAAATCAGGGAGATGCCGGCAGGGAGGAGTCTCCCTGCTCCCCTACAGAAGAAACGAGGGTGTAGCTACTACCTGCACCCAGGGACGCACGTCGTACTCCCCGCGTTGCCAAGTACCGCTGCTGAAACCCCGCAGGCCAGCCGTCCGCTCTGGCAGAGCTGTATCAGCACATCTAACACGCCTCTCCCTGCCCCGGCACTCAGCTGCTTCCAGCACGGCTCACCTGCACCAGCCTCCCCGGAGCACCAACAGCCTCGTGACTCGCTCAGCAGCTCGTGCAGGGACCCGCTGGTGCTCAGGGCGGCAGGGCCAGCCGCTCCTCCGGGAGGCCGGGGGGTCGGGCCGGGCGCTGCGTCCTGCTGGCACAAGCGCGGAAGGGCCGAGAGGGAGCGAGGGCGGGCGCCGAGGCGCCGGCTGCCAGCCTGTGCTTACCCTTGAGTGGCAGGCGCCTATCGTACATAGAGGAGGGCTCTGCCTAGCTACAAGCCTAAAATCCCAATTTAATGCAGTTGTCGGGGGGGGGGGGGGGGGGGGCCAGGACACACACGCGTGGCCAAGAGCCTGTCCAACGCAGCTCACATCGCTTATCCCTGCGCAGAGGGAAGATGAGCTCTTCCAGGATCAGGTACCTATTTAACAAAAAAACTGGGATTGCTTGCCAAAGACTGAAGTAATCCTCCTTCCCTTCCTCGTGAGAAAAGTTTCTGAAACGGAGAGAACCCAGAAAAGCACAATGCAAAACCACAACACTCAGCTCTCCCATTATATACAGATTTGCGAACAATGTTCGTCTGGGTACAAAAAACCCCCAGCACCGTGCTCTGTCACCCATCCAAAGAAAACAAATCCCACAGATATTTTAGGAGGAAGCACACTTCCAGTAGCCTACACGCCTCTCCAGGGGGAAGCAGAATATCCAGTTTTTAATTGCCAGCTTAGTCAGAGGCCGCTCTGTCTTCAGCTGCCCTCAACACCTTGCTCAAACAGACACACCGTGTTCAACTGTCTTCCTAAAATGGGCTTCAGGGATGCTCTCACGCAGCACTCAAGCCAATGTTTATGACTTGTGCCAATTATTTGGGGGTGGGGATGGAGCACAAGCATACAGTGTCAGCATTCCCCTGAAAAACCGGGAATCCCAGCAGCACAACCAGGTATCCACACTGGCCTAGGTCAGGAGGAAGTAAAAACTTACCAGACTGGTTTGTTTGGTCTAGTTTCATGGACAAGAAGGATTAAATAATTTTTAAAGAAACCCTCGAGTATTTTGAGGGTTTATTACAAAAAAAGGGGGGTGAGGATTCTATGCTTTTTCTGTACTAGACTGAGTTCAGATAGTCTTGGCTTCAGGATGATGGTAACCAGAAGCAGATCCCACGCCTCAAGTCTGTCAACAAGGTGGTCAGTTGTAGAAGGAATCCCCTTTCGGTTTGACTCAGCAACAAGAAACAACACAGGAATGAGGGGATGAAAAAGAGGGAAAGAAGTCCTGCCTTTAAAACCTGCTCTGAGGAATTACTGTAGTGTAACAACTGTTGGTAGGTCACTGAGACCTGACCAAGTTCAAATAAGAACAGATGAACACTGAAGAAATAAGCAGCCAGAGTTTTTCAGAGAACAGCAAGCAGAAGCCATTTTCAGAAGGCAAGAGTCTCGGCATGGAGACGGAGCCTTTTCCAGAGAAAACAGCATGAAGCAAACCCCTGAAAGAGCACACTTAAATGTTAGCAAGAGCTTATACAGCCCATACTACCTCAAGGGGAGATTACATAGAGACCTCTTGCTCCTTTGGCTTTGAGGCATCTGAGGGAGAGGACAGCTTGGGATCCCAGCAAATGAAGCAAGAAGAGAACAGCCAGTTCGCAAATCTTTTAATCTCATGTGATAAATTCTAATCCAGATCCAAAATCTATTAAGAAATCAGAAATTACAGACTGGGAAAGGAACAAAGGCCAACACTTGTTACCACCCTATTTGCAACACAAATGCCTCCAGATACTTTGAGGAGCCCACATCCTCATCAACCTTCTGCAGAAGACAATGAGGAAATACAATTATAAATCATTGCCTCCTTTTTTCTCTTCTTTAACAAGTAGTCCCCCTTCCCAGAAGGGAAATACTCTGTCCTTTAACTATGAAAAAGATGAGTTAGTTAATCTAATAATACCAACAGCTGTCAAGGTAGCTGCACGTAGCTGATACTTGCAGAAAGCACAAAAGGTCAGAGATGCCACTGACTCCTCTGGTTGTTGACACCGTAAGATGTGTTCCAGTACGACCCCCTCGATCTCCTTCTACTGCATCAGAATGTGATAACTTGGTAATAAAATAAAAAAGCCCCAAACAGCTAAATCAGAATGGCTCCAAGACAAGAAACAACTAAATATCAACAGTAAAAGGTATTCTGACAAGTCTTTCATAAAGACAGGCTTGCCTACATTGCCAAGATTTCCGAAGTAAAGGCTTCACTGTACCATGGGCAGAACATCGAAGAGCCGGCTGGGAACAAAGGGCTGATTCTCTGCTCTGCGGAGGGAAGGCAGGAGCCCCCTCAGACCCCCCGTTTATCAGCACATCGATGTGCTGAAGGAGAGAGGCCAAATTATCACTTGCATCAGAGGAGAGCAAACATGGGAACGATGCCCTCTCCTCCTCGCCCCGCAACCATGCCGGGTGACCTTGCGAGTATCCCTCCAAGCTCCTGAGGGATCTGGCCCCCGGGAACCGGCTGGTCGCCGCCGCTGCCTCCCCCTCACCAGCCCCGTTTCCAGGGGCTTTAAAAGACGGCTGCCACGACGACGACCTGCGGTCCCACAGCGGGCCACACCCGGCCGGAACAAGCGCCCTCCCCCCCCCCCCCCCATTCCTTTTCCAGCCTCCCCCCCTCCCACGAGCGGCAGCCGAGCTCCCCCCACTCGAGGCGAGCGGCGCCGCACCCGACTCAGGCGGCCAGCAGCCCCCTCCCCGGGAGAACGGCCATTTCTGGTGACCCCACTGCCCCCCCCCCCGCCACCCCACCGCCGTGGGGCAGGCTGGGAGTTGTAGTCCGAGCCCCCCCCCCTCCCCGCGACCTACTTCGCAGCCGGACTACACCTCCCGTCGTGCCCCGCGGCCGGCCCGGCCAGGCGCTTCGCTCCGCGGGGCAGGGCACAAAATTTTCCACGGCACATGCGCGCTGGCGGCCCGCCCGCCCCGGCGCTGCCCACAGCGGGGAACACGCCCCGCGGGCCCGGCGCTCGGGACCGCCGAGCAGCCGCCCCCCTTCTTCCCTTCTCCTCCCTCTCGGCAGGGACGGGAAGGCGCCCCCCCCCCCCCCAAACCTCCGCCTCACAACAGCGGGACGGAACCCAAGAGACCTCAAGCCTCGCGTCCCCGTTCCCACCGTGGGGCACGCCGGGTCGCAAATAGGGTCCCCAAAAGAGCCCTTCGACGGGGGTGTGTGTGGGGGGGAAGGTGTGTCCCCTCACCCTCCAAGGGCGAACTCCTGCCGGGGCTGCCCCCGAGGCCTGCAGGATGGGGGTGGGGGTGCAGCCCAGCCCAGCCCCAGCAGCGCCTTTGTTGTCGCCGGGCTTCTCCCCCCCACCCCTCAACCCCCCCAACCCTGGAGCCGGTGGGGGCTGAATCCCCCCCGTGTGGGAAAGGAGACACCCCAGCGACACACCCCCACACACCCCCCCCCACCCCACCCCGGGGTGCCCGTCGCCGCCCCCGGGCCCAACCTGCCCTTTTCGGGGTTGCTGGGGCTGAGCCGCACCCCGCCCCCCGTTCCCCCCCCCCCCCCCCCCCCCCCCCATCAGACCGGGGCGACCCAAACAAAATGGTGAACTGGGGCATCGCGAAGCGTCACCGACCCAATGACTTTCACACACACACCCCCCCTCCCCCCTCTCGAAGCCCCATTAAAGCCACCCCGGGGGCCGGTAGCTCCGCTAATTACCTCCTCCCCGGGCGGGGATGGGGGGGGGGACGGGGGACAATGAGCCCCCTCAGGCCGAGCCCAAAAAGGGGATGCGGGCTGCGGGGGGACCCCAGACCGAGGAAGCGGGGGGGGGGAGGGCATCAGCCCCCGGCCCCACTTACTTCGTCCTCAGCTCCGGTAGCGGCTGCCAGGGGCCGTGGGCGCTGCCGGCGGAGCCCAGGCGCTACGTGCGGGTCTCTGCCCCGTTCCCCTCCCTCGCCTTCTCCTCAGCGGTGCGGTTCCTCCGCGGGGCGGGCCCGAGAGCTGCGGCGCGGGCCCGGAGGTGGTGCGGGACGCCCGGAGAAGGTGGATGGTTGTATTTGGGGGGGGAGGAGGGAGGGGGTGCGGGTGCCGGTGCCGCCGCCTCACCTCGCCCCGCTGCCGCCCGCGCCCTGGCCCCGAGTGAGCCAACTCACGGCAAACTTTCACCCTTAGCAACCCCGCGCACGGATCCGCGCTGCCCGCCCAGCGTGATGCGGCCGCGGAGGGCGGGCCGGGACTACTTCCCCCTCCCCTCGCCGCCCGCTCAGCCCCGCCGCCTCCAGCGCCCTGGGGATGGGGGGGAAGGGGTTTAATTCCCTTTTTCTCCCCCTTTTTTTTTTTTTTTTTTTTTTTCCGCCTCCCCTTCGCTGCCGGTGTAGCAGCCGCAGCGGGGGTCGCTGGCAGCTGCGTGGCATCGGGGACTGTCCCGACTCCGGGCGCCAGGGGAAGGAAGGGGCAGGGGTTTTAGCGGGGATGAGGCTTGACCTGAGGATTTCCTCAAGCGGCTTAGCCTGAGGGGCGGGGAGCGGGGGGCGACGGGCACAGCGAGGTGTTGGCACGGGGAGCAAAGGGGGGGGAAAGGAAGCGGCCGACATTTTCTTCGCCTCCGAGCACGACGGGTGCTCGGCAGGAGGCCGGCGGGCCTGGCGCTGCCTGGCCCCGGCTCCGTGGCAGGACCGGCCGCGGGGTGAAGGTGAATTCGGGCTCCCGAGGCGACAAGCCCTCGGCACAGGCCTAGCGAAGTGTTCCAGAACTCCCGTGCCCGGGCCGACCCCCAAGCCCCGCCGTGACGGTGCGAGCTGGAGAGTTGGGTGGGGGCGAAGCACCCAGAAGGATGTGAGGAGAACGGGCAACCCCGTCTCCTCCCTTCACTGCAAACCCCTGGGGACCCCCGGTCCTGTGACGGGCTCATCTCCTCGCGGAACAACGGGGCAAGGCCAAGCAGATGATGCCCCAGGGAGGGCAGGAGTGGACACAACGCCCCGCCGGCCCCGGTACCCTGAAGCAGGGGCGGGCGCCTTCAGTCCCCGCCGGCACCGCGCTCCCCACCCCGGGACTCGCAACCCGCGCACTATTTTGTCACCGCACGCCTGTGCGCCTCCGCCTTCAACGGAGGGCCGGCCCGGCCGCGTCGGAGGCGAGAGACCCGCAAGGTGCGCGAGCGGTGGCCGTGCTAAAAATAACTGAGGCGTGTTAGCAACAGCCTTTCCATTGGCTGGCCGGGCCCGGCGGCGCCTTCGGATTGGTGCGATGCCTCAGCCAGTGAGCCGAAGGGGGTGTGTGAGCAGGGGGGCGGCGCCGGGCGCGGCGCGGGGGCTGCCGGGAGTTGTAGGCGCTAGGGTGGCCGCGGCCTGCCCGCACATGGTCGCCGCCGTCCCGCACCGCGGGTGGTGCGAGGCGGGGGCTGCGTGCTGCTCGGGGAAGGGCAGCCGCGGAACTAACCTTCCCCGGGGCCACCCTGGTGTCTGTCCGGCTCGGGGGCTGGTGGCGGGCACCTGCACCCCCGAAGGTTGAGCCTCAGCTGGCAGCTAGCGAGCTGAAGGCACCCACACAGCACCACATGGCTTTTCAGTCTGTAAATAAAACTCAGCAATGAGGAGAAAACAAGAGGATTTGCTCTGGGGTAAGAGGGGATACCTGGGTGTGGTAACAAGCGGTCCCCTAAAGCATCCACACATGGAGAAGCGTTGGAGGGGCAGCTGTATTATTTCTCTCACACGCAGCATCACCCTACGTGTTTAAAGCGCGCAAGCTGCCAGCACGCAGAGCTCCGCACTCAGTATTTTAAACCAGACCTATTACTAGTTCTGAGGAAAATTAAGAAAACCTCTACAGGCACCTGCTGGCTACTTATTTTACAGTCCGAGGCCACCACCTCGGACAGGCACCATTTGCAAAGGGCTCTCGCTGGCGCATGTAAGGCAGCTTTTGAGCAGAGTAAAGCTCCAGATGAGCGGAAGGGATACCAAGAAAGGGGTTTCCAGGCACTCCCAGCCACGTTTTCCGGCATCTTCCTTGGAGCTGACACAAGCAAACCAGGGAGGGAGAACTGGTCTCGGCGACCAAAGCAGTCCTCATTGCAGCAGGGCTAGCTTGCCCCATGAAATGTCCTGTTTGTCTTGGTTCTGAAGAATTCCCGAGAAAAATCACATCGTGGAGTCACATTCCACCTTGGAATCAGACCTTCTCAATAACGGTTATGTTTGAATGTTTAATTTATCGCCCATTTTCAAAAGCGACAAAGACCACAGATGCTTCCTGAGCTGCACCCTGTCCTTTGGTTAAATAATTCTCCATAGCAACTGCCTCCCAAGTGCAAAAATACAAAGTTCCTCTCTTGCCCCTTTTCCACAAATACCTTCAGCATCTTTCTGGGTTTGGTTTGTCCTCCCTCATGCAGGAACCCTTTAGGTACTGCCTTTGCCACTGAAGAGGACTTCTTTTGAAGCCAGTCAACACCACATATTAAAAAAATCTGTTAACACTGTCCTTCCTGGCCCCAGCGCTACAGCAGCCATCTTTGCTCATTTTCTCAGAGATTTAAAAAAACAAAACAAAACAACTTTTGAAGGTTTTGTTTTGTTTGGGTTTTTGTTTTTTTTTCTGCAGGGGAAGGGGGAGGAAGGGGAAGATTTATGAGAGCTATTACGAGCAGCCTTATTTTCATCACTCCTAGTTTAAAAGGACGTTAGTTTCAAAAGAACATATTTTTTTTTTCTAATACTCCGTTGCTTTGCTGGAAACAAAATCACGCTGTCAGCCAGAGATCAGGAAATTGAAATGACTGTGTTATTTTTAGTATCATTAGGAAAAAAAAAGGCAATTACATTTCTAAAATTCTACTGTTGTTTTAATAAGGTGTTACTAAGAGGGTGTTACACATTAGGGCTCTTTAAAATACTTGCGCCTTGACCGTGCTCCTTTAATTATCGCGTTGCCCTGGTACACATGCAGGCAGAGGAATTCTGTCACAGTATCCGCTCACGCATTCTCAGCCATTTGGCTATTACGTCAAAGCAAAGCTACCAAATCACGTGCGCATGGGGAGGGAAGGAATTGCCAGGCCGCCAGGCCAGAGCTCGTTTTGCTGGGTTATTTAATGCCAAGGAAGGGCAGTCAGGTCATAATCAGGCGTAATTAACACCGCCATACCCTGAATCTTCTTTACATTCAAGTCACATGACAACCTCAAGGAAATGAAAAATTCTTTCCTGCTATTGAAACAGGCAAACAACACCTCCAGCTGATTCCTGTAATGAGAAAATAACAGCTCCTCTGCAGATAAGGTTTCAGAAGGAGAATTTTGTCTATGCGACTCCCACAGGGAAAGCTCACAGGCAGACTCGAGGCCTTTGCCTACCTTAGTTTTTGTTTTTTTGTTTTGTTTTTTTTTTTAAAAAAAAGAAAGCTAATGCTTCGGGTTTACCCCAAAGTGTGTTACGGAGCTGTTTGCTGAGCTCGGTTGTAGCTGTGGCTGGTAGCTGGTCTGAAGAGGTGCATAACAGGGAACATCTACATTTCAGAACGCAGCAATGCCTTGTTAGTACAGGCAACAAAGAGGACAATTACTTAAGAGGCCAAGAGGTTCCATGTTCCCCTCCGCCAATGTAAATATTTGAAATAAAAGGATTCTTTTACTTATTACATAACATCCTTTTGATGAAAAAAAGAAAAAAAAAAAAAAAAAAAGGCAATAACCCTAACCTAGAAAAGTAATGGCAGGAAGACACATTTAGCTCCCTGCAACTAGGATTTGCAGGCAGCACCACGGGGGTTTAGCTGCCACAGAGACACAGCCGTCCGTCCCTCCCACCCTTCCTTGCAGTTGTCATGCAAGTGCTTCACAGCTGGCAACCAGGGAGCCCCTGAATCAGGCTGCTTAAGACTCCAAGGTCTGATGAAGCCCTTCCAGAGCTTGGCAGGCACACAGCAGCAGGACACGGCTTGTCTCATTCCCCCCCTGCAGGGAAGCTCGCCCTTTTAGCGTGTGCTCCGGTCTCCAGTACTGCCAGGAAATCTCCTTCTGCTGGAGAAGTACTTTAAAATCTATTTAGGTAAGAAATATTGCACTTTTCTAGGGGCCCTGCCTGGGTTTAATTTGCTGGTGAACAGAAATCATTACCACACGAGCAAGGCTGAGTTTTTCTGGGCTACCCAATGGTATCCGTTACCCTTGTCTGAATTAGCAGCTTCAGGGCAATGTCCCGTCCGTGCTCTGAAAGTACCAGAAAGGCAGCGGCGCTGAACTGATCTGAGCACCAGCAGCATTTGGCATTCTCCCCAGAGCTGTCTGAGCAAACAAGGCAAAGGGGAAAAGGCCCGTCCCTCCCTCTCTCCACCTGCCCAGTGACTCAGAACAACTAGAAATGGCAGCTTAACTCCCATTGCTGCCAGAACACAGACTGATATACCAGCAGTTAGAGTGAAGGCACCGGGAGTGCCAAGAGAGTAAGTATGCTCGGGCCTTTTTGGGGGTGGGGGAAGGGATGGGGACACTCATATCTCTATAGCAACCCCTGCCTCGCCGATCCTGCTAAATGATCGGGAACAAGGGCCGCTCTAAAATTAGATCTGCTAGAGGTCCCTGCACCAGGGGCAATAACTCCTGAGATAAAAGAAATAATTCAAACTTTGTTTCCCCCCTACCTTCACTGAGCAACTTTTGTTATCTTAGAAACTTCCGGGAAAGAAAAAATTACGTATAAACCTTCTGCGTTCCTGGTGCGATAATTTGGGTGGCCTGGCTGAGAGCAAGTGATAAATTCTGGCTGAAGTGATAAAGTTCCAGGTACAAAAAAATCTGCATGTCATGCCCTGCTTTTAAAGAAATACAGAATTTAACATGACTGGTAATGGCTCTGACATGGGCTTCCCCATCAGGAATGAGAGCCACCTGCTTATTCAGGCAGAATTCCTTTGAGAGAGTGGGTTTGCTGGAGCCAAAGAACCAGTTTGCTTTGAGCATCTTGGCAAATGGCATCCACATTAGTAAAAATTAACCAGAAGCTGTGTAAGCGAACCATGGTGCAAAGAAGAAGACATGCACTCTGAGTACTACAAAAAGCTTCTAAGAGAAACCTGACAGAATTAATAGCTGGGGGGATGAGAGGGAGGAGCAGCTGAGATGGCCATAGAGACCAGTCACAGCTAGAGCCAGCTGCAGCAGGAAATTACTTTTTAGGGAAGGATGATCACAACTTGTCTGCTTGTTTTCACTCTTACCTGAAACACCTAAATGGCTGGAGCAGGTAAAAGAAGCATTTAAGCC